GACAATATATTAATTAGTCAATTAGACAATATATTAATTAGTCAATCAGACAATATATTAATTAGTCAATTAGACAATATATTACTTAGTCAATTAGACAATATATTAGGAATCAGCATGGACATGAAAAAAAACAAAATGCCAGTCAAGCCATTTTTGTTTAAATTTTGAAAAAAATATGACGTGCACTTGTAATCCAATATGCATAATCAGCTAAAAAAGTTTGAATGAAATCGCCCTGTTGATCACGAAGAACGGCCCCAGAAATGTTCAAGTATCAGAATTCATCAATTTTGAGGATATAAATGGCCACCAGTCAGCCATACTGAAAATTGATGTGCATATGCAAGTCATCATACATGGTCTTTGTTTTCAGTTTAAATGTGATCAAAGAATGTCTGAGAAATGACTTTTGATGCACAAAGAGCAGAGAGAACCCAAATAAATAGACTTTGTTTGAAACAGAGACTAAAATGATATTAATAAACCCAAATAATGATTCAGGAACAATGAGCATGGTTAAGCTGATATGAATGATACACAGAAATATTTTGAGATGCAATAATACAGTTATGTTCATTCCCTGGCACAATAAAACAGTAAATCATACATTGATATATTATTCTTGAAACACATCTTACTTATAGTTATAAAAATTTGTATGTAAAATAAAATTCACATTTTGATAAACAAAATAAAAGAAATCAGGTGTCAAAGCAGTTTAGGTTAGTGTCTTTAGAAGCTCTCTACAGCGGCATGAATCTATAATCTATACTTCTCTTCTGCAATCAACAAATTTACCCAACTTGATTAATGGCATGCTGTTTTGTCTCAGAATTTCTACAAAATCACTTCACTATGTATCATTTGCACATAAGCAGACGCTCATTTTCAGACGTGACACCTGAATATTTTATTTTATTAAAAAAATGGTACATCATATATTAAACATGTTTCTTACCTTATCCACCATTGTACTTTTACATTTGATATTTTGCACATCTTCTATATCGAAAATCTATAATCAAATGAAATTTGTTATAATTACAATAATAATAATACTGACATTGTACCATCAAGGTAGAATGTAATGTACAACACTTACACATGCAGTTGTTATTTATGTGATTGTTGATTGGATACATGGTCACATGGAATGACGTACTTTTACATCAACACACAAATGATAAAAAAAACAAAAAAAACAGTTTCAAACATTTCCTATAATGGCTTCACTAAAACAACACAATAATGTTTTCAAATCTGATAGCATAAGAGTCTTTAGTAGGATTTTGGCATCCAGTTCGGGTGACATCAACAATAAATAAATCCCACAAACCATTGCATCTTTACGGTAGAAATTAATTTGCCAAATACTGTAGAATTCTTTATTTTCGCTTGGAATTTATTTTTGCTATTTTCGCTGAAGAGATGATTCCGTGAAAATAAAATCCAGCGAATATACTTTTTTTCATATATTTCACATTAAACTCATCAAAAATCAGTGAAAATAGGTTGTAAGTAAAATGCCCAAAAAGCCTTTTCAGCGAAAATTTATTCCAGCGAAAATAAAGTATTCCACAGTAGTTTTATTTTATGATGTTGTTCACAAACCCAGATAAAAATATATAGTTTTTGCACATGATGGTTCGATTCAAACATCAATGAAAATGGTGATTTTTGATTTACCATTAGTTCATATTGTAAAAACCTATCTCAAAACTTTGAATAGTGACAAATGATAACAAATCTATGTGTTTATATGGTTGTCAAGAATTCTCATAAAAATTGTTTTAAAAAATTACTTTTTTAATGCAATTTTTAGGTAGTTTTTCACAAAACACATATTTCGTTCTGGAAAAATATGACTATTTGATTATGTGGCAAAATAAATAATTTTGATTAATTTTTAGTTTATATTTTATAGGCTAAATTGCCCTAATCTACCATAATTGTCCAACATTATTTCCAGTAATGTTTTCATAGCAAACCTTGCTTGAAGTCAAAGGTGTTATTTAATATGTAGAATATTACAATCATTTATGTACATGTCAAATAATTCCAAAATCATTAAATGGGCAGTGGTCATTGTCCAAATTTCATATAATCAAGTGAAGTATTTCACACATGTTGTGTACATGAGTCCCATATCAAATAGGATGTGAAGTGACGACAACGACCCTTTAATTAACATCCATTACATACTGCTCCAAGTCACACTCTGGGATCACTCATAAAGCTTTGACTATTTCGTATCAAATGCTTTATGGTATTAGTTTGTGTGAATACATAATAAATGCTGTAATTTGGAAGTTGAATATTTCAGCCTCTCTTTCACGTGTCCTTTATTGTCTCACAAAAATTACACATACACACATTCAGATCATCAAATAAAATCAATCAAATTGATTTCAGTGTGTGAGTGTAAAATAAATATGAAGGTTATGTATTAAACTCAGATGAATCCATGCATATTAATAAACAATTAATTTCTAATTAGGCATAAAAATGTAATGAAGTTATACTGATTAACTAATCAATTATTTATTTGTTTTTTGTTTATTTATTAGAATAGAATAGAATAGAATAGAATAGAATAGAATAGAATAGAATA